GTTCAATCCCCCAGCACCACATGCCAGCCAGCCCCGCCCCCTGGTGGGCTGAGCTGGCCACACACACACACACATAAATAAAATTTAAAAAAAAAGAAAAATATAGGACTCATACCTACAATAAGAAACATGAAATTATTAAAAAGGTGGGCAGAAATGAAATAATAATAGTTGGATGCTAAAGGACCTGATTAGAAATCCTAGGTACGAAAACTAGCGACTGAGATTACAAACAAAGTATTCTTACGTACAAGATAAACCCCATACTCGAATAGCTGAAGAAAGAATTGGTAGCTTCAGGGCAGTACTAAGGATTTCTTCTAAAATACAATACAAGGAGGTACTAAGATTTAAAAGATTATTTACAAGTCATGAAAGACTGACTACAGACCCTAACAGTCATCTATACATTTCAAAAAAATTAAGGTATTAGTTAAGAAAGGAATATTCAGAGAGATAAGTACTGAGAATTTTACAGGATATACCTGAATCCTTATGTTGTAGTTTGGGAGTTTACAAGGGGAACAATATAATATAGGACACATATTTTATAAGATTATTTATAAGTCACCCAAAGAAGCATATACAAAAGAGTGCAGGAGGGGGCCTGCCCCTTAGCTCAGTTCTTTAAGTGGCTGCTTCAACAAAGCAGTCAGGCTCAGGTTGCTGTGGTTCAAACCCCACAATTCAAGCCAGCCAAACCTGCCCTGAAGGCATTCGGAGCAAAAAAAAAAAAAAAAAAGTGCAGGAAATCTGTCCACACACTAAAGACCAAAGAATCTAGCTGAAGGACTGGATCCCATGATAATGTCCTATATGAGTCCAGCTGAAGACCTAGAACTCATATCAGTACCCTCCCCCCAACAAATCCAACTGGAGGCCTAGAACCCATGATAATGTCTCATACAGGCCTGTTTCACTGATCTGCACTTTAAAGGCCCAAAGGTCAGTGATGGAAGCTAGAAAGTATGCCAATGGAATGAAGGATCTGTGTTAGCAGGCCGAGAGATCTGAACTGGAGGTAGGAAGCAACAGTTTAGGTAACCACCAGAGCTCCCCCAAAAGTAGTACAGCCATCCTCAGCAACAGTAAGGACTCAAGCTCCTCCAGTGATGAGGAAAGCTGAGTTCCTATCAGGAAAACCAACATGACAAGTTTCTCCAGGAGACTGAGCTATGTAACATCTCATCCCTCCAAAGCCAAGAAGTGAAGCTCAAGGTGAGGAACAGAGCTCCCCCAAAATGAACTGTAGCCATTCTCAGCAACAACAAAGTCCCAAGCTCTTCATCCAATGAGAACAGTCAAGTTCATCAGGAAAGCCAGCCTGACAAGGTCTCCCAGCAGATTAGCCTGAGAGAGCCAGCAGCTCCCTAATAGCTTCCCAAGAGCTTCTCCAAACAGCTTCCGTCAAGAGCCTCCTCCATCATCAGCTCTGCCTCTTACACTGCTGGCAACAATCCTCAGGTGGGCCTCCAACAGCCTGCACCATGCTAGTTCAGTTCATCTGGGTGTAACAAGTTGACAATCCACCATACCTCACATCAAAATTTTTTTTTTAAACATTTATTTAGTGTGTGTGTGTGTGTGTGTGTGTGTGCGTGCGTGGCCAGCTCAGCCCACCAGGGGGCGGGGCTGGCTGGCATGTGGTGCTGGGGGATCGAACCGCGGTCCCTGTGCTTTAGCTTAGCTTAGCTTGTTCCAAGTAGGTGCTTTAGACCACTGAGCCATCTCTCCAGCCCCTCACATCAAAAATTAATGTTAAACATCCAACAAGGCAAACCAATCTACACCTAGAAAAATAGGATACTATAGAAAAATAGGAGAACGTATAGGAATAAGAGAAAAATATTAAAAGCTCCAATCCCTTCTTTGAGCCTATAAGACACATGCCATTAAACCAGCCCATTGTTAAGGATTTTTTTTTTTTTTTTTGGCTACTTCAGGCTGTCTGAAGGGTGGGTCTAGAGTAGCTTCTGGAGCTGGGAATCAACCTGCAGCCTTATGAGCCTGACTGCATTTGCCCAAGTGGGGCTTTTAAACAACTGAGCTATCTGGGAAGTCCCCTAGCCCAATGTTAAATAAACAAAGACTAATAAAGGAATCTCAGTCATGCTCTCAGCCCAGCAAAGGAGATACCCATGCACCAGCGATCAGAGTGGCAGTGTGACGGAGAGCACAGTGGAGAAGAATCTCCTGAACTCTCCACGAGAGACAGGTCTTCCTGGCAAATGCTCGCAACATGAAATGTATTTTCAAGAAATAAAAGAATCAGTAAGCCTTGACTGGTGATTTGCTATGTGCCTGACTCACATCCCTAATCCTCACAACCATCCTGAGTTAATAAGGCCATTTTACAAAAGAGAACAGTAAAGTTTAGGGTAATGATGTAACTTTCCCAAAGCCATAAAGTTAATACTTTGGAAAGCACACACTGGTTCTAAAAATGACAAAACATAACCCTGATTTCTTTGACTGACCTTAGTATATAATTATAAGCTACTTTATTGGATGAGAAACTTAAGAGAGAAAAATTCTGTTGACACAGCACTGGAAATGCTAAACTGGCTGCTCTCCCTTTTTTGTTTACTGTACTCTGTCATCCATGTGAGTACAACAAATAAAGAGTACTGTGAGAAAGCAAGCCAGCTGGGCAGTCGCATTTAAATTTAAATAAATTCATGCTTGGCTTCTTGCTAACATGATTATCAATTTGACTATATTTGTGGAAAAGGAACGCAAAACTATCTACAAGATTCAACCATTTCCGAGACAGATGAAAAAGACCCAGAGCTTCCCTCCAATGGCTGCCCTAAAGGCCTTCCAACCAGTCTGGCTACACTGGGAGATACCCGATTTGCCTTTGGCAAGCTTGGACCTGGACCTGTCCCAGACAACCTTACCCTGCAGCCTCCCCAATGACTATGCTTCTCTGTTGCTTTCTCAATTACATTAGCAGGCATCTCTCCCATCCATGACCAAAAAGAAAGTTGACATAGAGCATACAATAGCCCATCTTTTTTCCTTTATAAGCAACAACCCCAAACTCTTCCTGGGCTCAGTCCATGCACTGTTTCCTGTATGCTGGAACTTAGTTCAATAAAACCTCTTCTGGGTGACATATTTTTGTCCATTCATAATTACTACCTCAGGTGGAACATGCTGAGCTGGTACACTAAGAGCTAG